TTTTTATTGAATAGATTTCAAGTCGAACAAACTATGAAATTGCGATGAATCTGGAAATGATTGGAATTCGTTTCGTTTGCCTAAATAGGGAAAAGGATACTTTTTTTATTGGTTCCATTTGTACTTTTGTTTATTAAGTTACGGCTTCATTTCTATTTCTAATTCTTAATTTGGCTTATTTTTATGGTAATGCCTTTTCAACAATTGATGCATTTTAATACTTTAACCATTACACATTAATATTCAATACTGTTTACATTAATATTTAATATTAAATATTCTATTAACTTATTCGATTGTCAACATATGCCACATGCTAGTACCATACTGTTTATATTATTAATTAATATTTCTATTAACTTAGTCTATTGATTAGTTGATGTTCAGTTTTCATTAACTTATTCTATTGATTAAGACAGAAGTTAACATATGCCTTGTGTTCATGCCATACTATTTACACTAATATTGTTTGATTATTAATCTATTTTTATTTTTATAATGGATTTTCTAGAAATACGAAATGGATAAAAGTTGGATGGATTTATCAAGGGTAAGCGGCGACTATCAAATGGAAGTCGAAGTTGAAGCGAGAGAAGCAACATATCAGAAAAAATATGAACTTCAAAATCAACTTGAAGCTATGAAACAGTGGAATCAAGCGATGAATTCTTCATCCTAGGTTATTTCTTTGTTTAATGTTCTGTTTATTCTAGTGAATAATGTTGAACTACGTTACATTTTAGTTATATGTTTGTAAACTTTGAATTATTCATATTTTTATATATTTTTACTTAATTGAAATTGTAATTACATTTCAAGGTTGTTATTGGATATTGGTACATGTTAAATTTGGGTAATATAAAGTAGGAACAAAAAATATTGAAAATCAGTTGTGATTAGCGATGTTTTAGGATGAAAAATGCCACTAATGGAGTACATAATTAGCGGTGTTTGAGTAAAAAATGCCACTCATACGTAATTATTAGCGGCTTTTGTAATAAAAACCTTACTTTTTGCGGCGTTTGTATCCAAAACGCCGCTAAAGAACATGACTTTTTGCGGCATTTGTTATCGTAAAACACCGCTAACAGTTGCGGCGCTCGTTTGACCGCTGTTTGTGGCGTTTTTTGTGAGCCAGGACTGTTTTTAGCGGTGTTTACGCTGCTATAGGTTTATTATGTTGTTGTGTTTATTTTACAAATGAGTGAATTATACGAATAACCCTCTTTATTTTTTGTCTGACCGACTTTGATTATCAATTCAAAAATTAAGTGCTTTTGGCTTCTTATATTATCAAGTTGTTCGATTTTAGTCCAATGGTCGTCAACTCTCGTTAACAAAAACTTTAGTTGGTAATTAAAAAATAAAAAGTAATACTCGTGTATTATTGTTATTATTATTATTAACCGTAGCTAACAAGAAACCATAGCTCATAATGCTCAGCTCCGTACAAGAGGTATATTTGTGCAAGTTCAGACCCCTATGTTTAAAAATCAATGGCTTTATAATTACGATTGATGCAGTATTTTCGTACCCACAACTCCATACAACCTTTGTTCAATGGCGGAGGTAGTGCAAGTGCTGTTAATGGAGTGAATACACCCAATGGGACAAAGTCAACGGGGAAGACAATTAAAAGAAAGGAAAGAGAAAAAGAAACAGGAAATGAGAGCTCACAATGCACATTTCCACGCAACCATATTAGTTGTTGTAATTGTCTCTGCCCTAGCAGCCATTGTAGTGGCCACGCCCACCACCTCAACTTTTTCTGCGTCGGAAAAAATGAAGAGTCAACCAAGATCGACATGACCTAATGCGTGGAGACAGCTGAAGCCATGGAAACCGAATGTGACCATCTTGTTTTGCCTTGGGTTGTGAGCTTCGCTGTTAATGTTTGTTCATTTGAAGATAAAGTGCCTCTTATAGCTGCTGCAGCTACAGGCAAAGAAATTCCATTCCATAATCCATCTACTTGACTTCAAAGAACCTTCATTAAAACAAGCTTTCAAATGAACACGTACATGTGCAAGATATGTGACGCATTGTTGTTGTAATTTTTTTCTCAGACATTTGTCAAGATTTAATTCTTTCCCATCTCCAACATCCAACCTTTTGAGAAAGAAAAATAAACCAAAGTCATCAGAGAAATGGATGTGAAACTCCATTTTTTTAACTTTTAGAGAGGTGATGATGAATAGTTAAGAACCCAATTCTCAAAGGCTGCGAAAGAATTATTGATTACCAGTAGAAGAACAAGCTCTCTTTCACCTGATAACCAAACATCATAGATAAGCTCAAATTAATTTTCAGGAGACGACGATCCCCACCTGCCTCCTCTTGGTCAATTTATGTTCGTAAGTTAAATGGAATTCATGTAAACATTTATATTAAAGACGATTTTTTATGCAAGTAGAAGTCACTAGTTTTAGGAAAAAATTTCCCACACAACTGTTACACTTATATAGAACCCTTCTTTGACTATTTGAAATCTTCTCTCAAGGGATAACCAAGCTCCCTGATGTAATTTTTTAGTCTCGTTTCTATTTAAAAAATTTAAAATTACAATAATAGTTTACAATCATAAGTTTGAACCAAACATATAATTAGAACATTTTTTATAATCATTGACACATGAAACTAACCACTTAATATCATGTAAGGAAAATATTAAAAAACTCTTCCAAAAAAACTCGAATAAAATAAAAAAAGGAATATATCTAAATGCATCGACAAGCGAACCACAACAGGGGATCAAGTTACTGAAAGACCATAACAATCGCGAATCAGAGTCGAGCATCGTGAGAAAACTATCTTCGAATGTAACCCGCAAATCCAAATTCAATGTAAGAGTCCAAAGTAGGGCATATAAACATGATAACAAATAAGTATCATATTCATCAACAAAAAAATCTTCTGCCCTTTTTGTGCCCCACCAGTAATGTTCTTACACGTGTATTTCTATTTTTTCACGGCAAAACTTATAATCTTCAAAAAAAAAATATGTATATACTTTCCTCTTTTACTTCATCTTCCACAATCCACTTCTACTGTTATATTTAAAGATACCGTGAAGCAAATTTATCTTCTTATGGTGGTAGGTATCTGTCAAGTTGATCTATTGATTTCACTGTGTTCATGTAACTAAACAACTCTTAATTTAGGGATAACTCTTTACGTACAAAAGGTTAGGCAGTTTGACTTGGTTTTGTTTAATAGATTCAACTTATTGGCTACTGTTTCCCAGTCTCACAAAAAAAATGCTAATGGGCTGAGTGTTTATTTTGTCTTTGTTGATTCGGTTTAACCACGAAATAAACTTCCGATATGTGCCCATCTTATAAAATGAACTTGTTATTTGGAAATAGTTGGTGGTTATTAGTTGGACAATGCTTAGAAGTTTTTGGAAGAACATTCCAAGTGCAATTCTCATTGGCTCGTTCACTTCTGCGGGGAAGAGAAGGTTACTGATTTCTTATGATTGCAGGTAGAAAACACACGTTCTCCCACTTCTGAATCTTGATAATTGACAGCGGCAGATATAACATGTCTATTGCTCTGTTTCAAAAACAATTGATTTTAACTATGATCATAATTCACAGTTACTAATGTATTATGTAGTAAGTGCAAGCACTGCTTATTGGTTAATCTCACTAGCCTATTACATGTTTTTCTTGGTTGCAATTTTTTTTTTTTTTTTTTGCAAGGTCTCATCTTCATTTAGGAGGGATCCGAATTTTCTAGCACATTAAGCTCAGAAACTTACTCCTATGGATATGGAGATTTATTTTCCGACTTTATTTTTACTTTCTCAAGGGTACCCCTCTCTTCTAAAGGAACCATCTTAGACTTTAGTGGGTTTACAGGTCGAAGATGAAGCAAAAGGGGAAAGTAATTCTTTTTTAAATCAAATAAGTTATCAGACACTAGATAAAAGAAAAATCAAATAAGTGATTTAGATATATAAGAAAAAATAATGAATATCAGTAATCAACAACCAACACTAATACTAATGTCGCTATTAGCCAACTAAGATAGAAAAGAAAAATAAAAGCGACGCAAAGCATAAAAAAAACTAGGACTAATAAAGATGATTTTTATTATCGTATATAAGAATTTAATTAGAATAAATTCGATTTTATGACGATCAAAGTTAATAAAGTGTAATGCCATAAATTCAATTACAGAGTTTTGATCGAATCTAAAATATTATATCGATCATCAAAATAATCTCGATCATTATTATCAGAATTAATTGTACAATCAATTATTAATATCAAGGGTTAATTATAATATCTCGTAATTAGATCAAATCAATCATTAAATCATAGAACATACTCGAGAAACATATTAAGGATTTTACTCACACGTATGCATTTCAACATACTTCTTTAAGTCAAATTTAAAAGTAACATTAGGATAATTTCACATAACCTCATATTTAGTTTTAGTTACATAATCGTTTAATCATATTTAACTAAAACACGGCATTTCTTAAAAGCGTCCCAATCCATCTAGTTAGACACAAAAGGAATTGATCTTTAAACAATTTTTTTGTCCAAACTTTAAGAGAGAAGATAGATCAATTTTTAACAACAAAATTGGTAGATAGTATTTTTGGACCGATCGAATTAATCTTATTTACTTACTTAACAATTGTTTTTTATCTTTTAAATATAGAACTTATGAATTATCATGTGATATGATCGATATATGATAATATAATGGTATATGATCGTTTAAAGATCTTGATATAATAAGTTTGGTTTATTAGTTAAGTTCAACCATTTAAAGAACGAAGATTACATTAGACTAATCAGTGATCACATTTGAATAGCGAAGAGTATTGTACAATACACTTAATGTTTAATATGGTGTGAAGCGTTGAAATAATATTTGAATTATTTTAATGATGCTCAACCGTTTAAGTAACGGATATTAGATTATAGAAAATGAAATGAGATTAAGTTGAATTTTTATCCAGAAGAACGTGACGGGTGTGGAAAATCAAGAGACGAGATCACCAACCCGAGAAACACAACGTAGACAGCGGTTTAAAAAGAGAAAATACACTCCTAGGATTTTGGACACGAAAGGAAAAGGGGAAAAATCGGATTACCTTCTTCGACCCCTCCTTTCCGTAAAGTTTCCATCTTTCCCAAAATTCTTGTTTTCATTCACTTTCCTTTCAAGTTCTTCACCTGGTGAGCTTCTTCTTCTTCTTCTTCTTCTTCTTCTTCTTCTTCTTCTCTACTGTACCATACTCGCATTTATTTTTGGTTGATCATCGGTTTGGCGTTAAACCCATCTCAATTGTGATAAGTTTTACTGTTTTCTGCTTTTGCTTTAGCTGGTTTTGACTAGATTTTTTGTGGCTGCTAGGTAACTTTGCATCGACTGGCTTCCTATTTTTCATTTCTAGGGTTTTAAGCTTGTTTGATTAATTTATTTGTTCTTTGAATATAGCCGTGGAATTGAACTTGAGACTTTTTGGACGTTTTAGCTTTCAGGTAAGAATTGGATGGTTCTTTTGTTTTTTTTTTGGTTTTTTAGCTTTTGGTAACTCCTCTTCACTTCCTAGTCTTTTTTATTGTATTTTTAGGACCATATTTGGCTACAATACTTTGCAATCTTTTTTATTCCCTTTGCATAATTAGCCTCCTTAATTTCATTCGTTGTACTGTATAAAATCTAGGGTTTTGTTAACCAGGTTTATATATTAATACAAGTACTTTGTTTTTTTCTTTTTTCTTTTTACCTCGTTTCTTTTCTTTTTTCATTTGATTTTCTTTTTTCATGTAGCAGTTGAGAAACCTATGAAATAAAATGGATGGTACTAATTCAATTCCGAAGCCTCAAAGCAACTTAGATATACCCGCTTTCAGTGCCTCACAAATGGCTTCTCCTTCATCTTCCCCTTCGAATATGCGTTTGAGTCCTGAGAACAACAGTAACAAGAGAACTGGGATACCTCCTTCACACCCCAACAACCCTACTGCTTCATTGCCTTATTCACCACAAATGGTCGGTTCGCGTACCAATGCTCAACAAGGGGCACCTAGTCATTTGAGGTCTTTATCTCAGCCCACATTCTTTTCCCTTGATCGATTGCCCCCATGGTGTCCTTCCCCTTATCGAGATCCTTCTGTCCCTTCTCTCTCCGATCCTGCTTCTAATGATGTTTCTATGGAAGAAAGGGTTGTTAATTCTAATGTAAGGCCCTCACTCCCTTCACCTGTTGGCGGAGGAAGTAATGAGTTCCGCATCGGCGAGAGTTCAAGCCTACCTCCGCGGAAAGGACATAGGCGGTCTAGCAGCGATGTTCCATTAGGATTTTCTACTATGATTCAGTCATCGCCTCAATTGGTTCCCATAGGGAGTGGTGGCATGTTGGATAGGTCAGTTTCAGGTAGGGAAAGTACTTTTGGTTCAGAGAAACCGATTCAGTTGGTGAAACGAGAATCAGAATGGAAAAAGGATCGTGCTAGTAATGTAGAAGTGATGGGTGAGAGGAAATCTGATGGGGATTTTGCGGATGACTTGTTTAATGCGTACATGAATTTGGAAAATCTTGAGACGTTGAACTCGTCTGGTACTGAGGACAAGGATTTGGACAGCAAAGCTAGTGGCACAAAGACATATGGTGGCGAAAGTAGTGACAATGAAGTTGATAGTAGAGTAAATAAACATCCATTCACTTTAAATGGAATGAGTTTTGGCGTTTCTAATGAGAGGAGGGAAGGTGTCAACAAGAGGAGAGCTGCTGGAGATATTTCACCGAATGTTCGACATTACAGAAGTGTCTCAATGGACAGTTACATGGGAAGTCTGCAATTTGATGAGGATACACCAAAGATCCCTCCTTTGGGAAATCATGGAAATCATCACTCTCCTGGTAGCTCAGCTGATGCAAATTCAAGTAAATTCAATTTGGAGATTGGGACTGGGAGTAGTGAGTTCAATGAATCTGAGATTAAAAAGATCATGGAAAATGAGAAGCTTGCTGAGATAGCATCTGTAGATCCAAAACGCGTCAAAAGGTTTTGTACATTGCTTCTGCTTCTCCTTGCTTTTCTATTATATTTTTGCTTTTGGTGTTGCGTGTTATTGGCATGATTGATGTTTCTGATGTATTCATGACAGGATTTTGGCTAATCGTCAGTCAGCTGCTCGTTCCAAGCAGCGGAAGATGCAGTACATTGCAGAACTAGAACAAAAGGTTCAAACTTTGCAAACAGAGGCAACCACATTATCTGCACAGCTAACAATGTTACAGGTGCGTACAAAATTATATGACCATGCTAAGCAAACGGAGGCAACCACATAGGGCTCATAATGGTTTTTTTGGGGTGAAAACTAAATTAAGCTATATGCGATTATAAATACTTCCTTAGATTTTAGGAATGGTTCTATTTTTTTTTATTAAAAGTGTCTGAATCCATCTAGTTGGGAATAAAAGGGATTGATCCTTATTTAAACAAATTCTTTGTCCATTCTCTAAGAAAAAAGATCGATCATTTTAGTTTTTTTTAACAGAAAATATAGTTATGTAATATTTTTTAGATTCGATCGATTGGATTAATCTTATTTACGTAAATAAATTATTTAACATCATTTTTTTTATATTTTAAATATAAAATCTATGAATTGCCACGTGATATGATCTACGTCTGATAATAAATATTGTGTTCCCGTTTAAAGGCTTTGATTATTATATATATGATTTGAAAATTCTTTATTATTGTAATACATGAATTATTATAATAATTTATGTTTATTAATTATGTTCAACCATTTAAAGAGAGAATGTTACATTAGACTAATCACATTTGAATAGCGAAAAGTATTGTACAATACAATTACTTTTTAATATGGTATAAATTATTTAAGTAACATTTGAATTATTTTAATCATGTTAGACCGTTTAAGTAACGAATATTAGATTACACTTATTATAATTAGATAATTTAATTAAGTGTACAATGTTTTGTTTGGTTGTGTTTTGGATTGTAAGGCTCTTGTAAGTGTACAATGCCTTGTTTGGTAATAAAATTTCTGTGGCACTCTTTCCTCCTAACAATGTCCGTTGAGATACTTTTTGGTATCTCGACGGTTATGAAGGGTTTTTTTTAATGAGGCCTCTCTTTCTTATCAAAAATAATTTAATTAAGTTGAGTTTTGCTCCTTTGGTTGGTCTGTCCTTTTTCAGAGAGATTCTGCTGGGCTTTCAAGCCAGAACAATGAGCTAAAGTTTCGTCTTCAGGCCATGGAACAACAGGCCCAACTGAAAGACGGTATACTTCTTTGTTATTAAATTTTATATAATCTGTTTTCTAGATGTTTCTCAATTGGTATATACTATACATTTTTCTATTTCACTTGAAAATCTTGATCGCCGATATCATATTACGTATTTGTCTACCCTAGGATTTCCCACAGATCTATCATGTTATATAGCTGGCTTTATGGAATTGCACCACTTTTGGATTTTACCATTCTTTGATATTCAAGCGTGATCAGCTATCCGGTTGAAGTACTTATATTTAACTTAACCGCCTAAGTTCCAGATATTATTCTTATCTCTTTAGCAATTTGAAATCGAGTATCTCTACATTTCTAGCAAAGCATAATAGTATATAGACTCTAAGTACTAGTTTTCCCTATTTACTTTTATCGAAAGCGTCTCTGCATTTTTGAGTACATGTTGCTGGATCTGAATTCCGGGTTGGTGTAGCTTTCTATGTTTAGTTCTCTGATATTGGGTACTTTCTTGACTGTTGGGATGAGTTACATTTATAGATGCTTGTATGGTTTTAAGACCGGCATGTGTCCATAACTAGTCAGAGATGGAAGAGGTTTAGTCTTATCAAACATATGGCTCATGATGGTATTTTTTGGGTGAAAACTAAATCAAGCTATATTATGACCATGCTATGCAAGGCACGACTATAAATACTTTCTTAGGTTTGTTTTTAGGAATGGCGCTATTTTTGTTATTATGATGATGTTATCATAACAAAGCCTAAATGAAAGATGCTTGAATGGAACCAAATTGTGTTCATTTTGATTGCTAGGGAAATATTGATACGACTGCTGGTTAGTTGGGTTGCTTTTAACTTTCCTTTTTATTCGTTTTTGTGACATAACTATGCTAATGATACATTTGTATCTAAATGGAAACAATACTCCTTTTTGGCTTTGTGGGTTTGGTTCTGTAGCACTAAATGACGCGTTAACTGCTGAAGTCCAACGACTGAAGCTCACCGCAGCAGAGTTCAGTGGAGAGGCTCATCTTTCAAACCGTATGGCTCAGCAACTTTCCATCAATGACCCAATGCTACAGGTACAACCTCAGCAACACCAGCAGCTAAATGTTTATCAGATGCAGCAACAACCACAGCACAGTCGCAATGACCCATCCAAGACCCAGCAACAAAACGGTGATGCTGCTGCGAACGAATCCAAGTGATGATGACCGGCAAAAGTACAACTTCAGTTCATGTTCAGGCATATTATGATATCCGAACTAGGTTCAAAATAACAGTGATGGTTTCTACAGATACCATATACATATATTTTATTTGTTCTCTAGTAAACTTTAACCATTTTTTGTTCATGCGATGCCTTGCGGTGCAGAGGCATCGGAGGATTGAAGCTAAACTTACAGTTCTGTTGGTTCATTTATGGTAGGCCCGAACCATCTTAAACTTTTCCCCCCTATATTTAATGGTGTTATATTTTGCATTCCTCAGCCTGTAAGGAATGATGACTACATATTTTGCTTCATCTGTTTTGTATTTATTTTACATCCTCGAGGATTCAGATGTGCACCAAAAGAGTATATTCTTTGGCAGCTTGTATATTGCTATTTCTTGGCCTCACAATTTGTTTTGGCTACAGCTGATGGATTCAACCTGTTGAATTAGCAGGGATGAGAATAGTGACGGTCTGTCGGTCTCCGGTTGATTTCATAGTTCCATCTGAAGCTATTCCTGATTTAAATGAATTGTGTCTTCGTTGAATTTTTTTTATATTTTGATTGAAAATTCGAAATGTTCATCCAATACGTTCTCTATCCTTCATGACTTTTTGACATAATATTTAAGATAAAAACTCGTCGATTCTGATTCTCCTTTTCAAAATTTATCTAAAACTGATTTTATTTTTAGAAGAATTCTTATTGGATTGGGATTCTTTGGGAAATTAGCATCCCTATTGAAATAATTTGTTTTTGGGCTAAGATTCTTTTGAGAATAGATCAATTTAGTTTCAAAATTTTTTTAGCTGAAGTTAGGACATTTTTGGTGTATAATCCTTTCAATTTCAACATTTTTAAATTGATATCAATTTGGGATAGACGGTTCAAATAATTTATAATTTAAAGTATTTTATATTTTAAATATAATAATTTTTTTGAGAAGTTAAATATAATATAATTAGATTGTCTTGTCTTGTATTGGAACCTTCTTAACCTAAAAATTTATAATGTTTGAATGGTTATAAATAGGGGTCCGTTAATCCGATGATTCAATCTGAAAATTCATATATCTAATCCGTTTTTTTATTTTCAGATGATTCGAATCGAATAGCTAATTTTTTTTGGATAATCGTATCGGATACGGAACAAATAAATTTCAATTTCGGATTATCAATAAATCCAAAAAAATTGGGCTTTTATATTTTAAATATCCTTTAACCAAATAAATGAGTAACCCACTAACCCATTAAAACTCTAATACAATAAAAAATAGGTTACATTTAAAAACTCTAATCCAATATAATATAATAATCGAATAAGTTATATTAAATCACAAAATTTAAAAATTTAAAATTATTTTTTCCAAAATAAATTTTAAGTTCAAGTTAAGATATTGGAATATCATATCTAAAAATTCGGATATTCAATTTTTTGGATTAGATACCAATCATTATTATAGGTATTCAAAATTTTAGATATTCGAATTTTGAGATTAAATCGGATCCGACGTCAGAAATTGCACACCCCCAAATATAAATATAAATAATTTAAGTGTGGAATTTGACGTAGGTCAAGATGAGGTTCTGTATTTGTAGTCAAAAGCATCACGTGTAATTTGTAAAGAAGAGTTGAGGAGAAAATGAAATTGAAATTCTCAATCCAAAAATCTAGTTTGCATTTTCAGCCCGTTGCGAGCATCCTTCGCGTCACCCTTTTTACAGAACAGAAGCCCAGAAAAGAAATACATATTTAAAACGATGATAGAAGCACGGCAAAGCCCCCGGAAACCGTTTTAGGTTACCATGGGTTTCTCCCCCTTCGAAAATGTAGGGCCTTTTCGTTTTTCTTACAATTAGGGTTTTCGATACACGTATGTTGATTTAACGGCTGATACTTTTTTTGGGAACTGGACTAACATTTTTGCCGAGAACCGGAGCTGGAAAAGGGACCATTTTTTTCTTCTTAATATACAGTATATACTATTTTGTGTATTTTGCGATGCGAGGACTGCACAAATCAAACAAGCTTACTTGGGCTTCGGGCCTTCACCTTTATCAGGTAAAATGGCTATTATACTTTGGTACTTCTTAAATTTTGAGGTCCATTTCAGGTGAAAATAGGGAAGAGAAAAGGAGAGGGCAAAATTTTAAGTAAAAGTGTTGGAGAATGGAGCTATGTGAACCTTATTTTTATGTTGTTTTTGTTTTCTATTTTCAGTAATATTTTATCTGTTATTCTTTCTCTTGAACTGCATTTGAACCTTTCTGTCGCTCAATTTTAGTTCATTTTTTTGGTATTATTGTAATGCATGATTTCGGATGAGCTTTTCATTTTGGTGATGCCATTTTTGCATTAAACCTTTTAATGGTATGAATAAATGGGTTGTGCCCCCTTTTCTGTGGTATTTATAACTAATTTAGCTTCGTAACATTATGTTTTTATGGGAATAAATCTGTTAATAGAGTTGGGAAGTTTGCCATGCTAATGCTAGTTAGACACAGAAATGATGGAATGAAAATGGTGAAAGACTATCACTGTTAGCTTATTAAAAAATGATAGTAATGATAACAATATGCTGCCATTGATTAGCTTCCCTGGTGTGTCCCATTCGTGATGCTTTCCTTCATATAGTGTTCATCTTTGCAGAACTCGATAATATAACCAAAATACAACTGTAAATTATCCATAGATTTTGATTAGAATGCATGTTAAGTTTATAAATGCTTCTTATATTGCTTTATTTCTGATGTATTGACTTTAAATTTTTGTATGTTAAGTATTTAATTTTTGTCCCTGATCCTAAACAATTTGAAAGGACCATCAGTTTCCTCTGGAGAAGTTCCAGTTTTAGAATATTTAATTCTTAGATGAGTTATTGCACGATTTGAATTCTACTAAGAATGGGATTGAAAAAAAGGGGCAATTGTAACACCCATTTCCTGTATACGTCCTCATACACGAGTAACAGATGTCACATGACTTTTAAAATATTTTTGTACTTGAAAACCAATAAAATTTTATTTCTTTAAATAAACGTTTTAATAATGTAGTTTCTAAAATGTTCTTCAACTACTAATAAATAAAATAACGTTTAAAAATTCATCAAATAGTAGTTTAAGTTCAAATGTAATATAACACTACAACCAAATACCAAGTATCTTATCAGAGCAACACAACATATCTAAGTGCATGCCAACTAATAATATCAAAATAAACATCTAGAGATGTCATACTGTTATGGATTCTACAACCCTTGACAGTTGATATTAGCTGCACTCCGATTCGTACACTAAACCTACACGTAAAAATCATCACACCCTAAGTATTCACTTAGTGAGGCATAATAAAACTAATAAGGCATTTTAAAAACTTGAATAGACCATTATAAGATCAAAATACGATTTATCGAATAAAATACATAAACGCATAAAAACTGACTTAATAAGCCAAATTTCTCTCAAATAACATGCGAAATAATATTTAGTATGCCTAGTATACCTATCAATCAATATATTCAAAAGTATTCATTCATAGTCCAATGCATGTCAAATGAGAATGCAAGGTACATGAGTTGCACATAAGTGTTAAACGAAAGTATAGGTACTGTAGTAACAATGACACTATACTAATATATCGGAATGGTAATTCACAAACTCATTATGAATAACATGCATGCACACATAGTGTCGAAAGTACACAAAGGTACTGATACAAAAATGCAACGTATGCATTAAACAAAATTGATCGATAATAATCATACTCCAAGTATGTCAAAATGCACTTATGACTCTCAATGCACATACAATAAACCTTTAAATCAAATTCGTAGATTAAACATTTATTCTGAAACATTGATAGTTGTGAAATAATATAAAAGTCCATCAATTTATTTTAGGGCAGTTCATACCCTAAAATCACCATAAACCATTTAAATAAATATTATGGAAATATTTCAAAATACGGTAAAACATGTTTTTATAAAAAAAACATTCAAGGTTGAATCATCGTAAGTCGTCCTCATATCATATAAGTACATAATAAATGCACTCTCACCTGATATGCCTCACTATTATACTTTAATATCGAAATCCGATTATTCTTGATCTTTTTCATTGCCTTTCGTTTTGTTCATATCACAAGTTCAATCATGATTTACACGAGAATCCATAAAAAGAATATACAAATATAAAATACATGTTAGTATTCTTATTAATATTTCATACATAATGATAAAAATCCAAAAGTATTATTATTTTCAAATTCTTCTAAAATTCATTTTAATTTTTCCTTTTTATTCATATTGGGCTATTGTTATTAATTCTTCAGTTCAAGGCACAAATCAACCCAATAATTTTCAGCATTAAACTTTCAGCCGAAATACCTCGACAATGACATATTTATCATTTAATACACTAACTTTCTTAATGTTTACCATTTAGCACTCAAACTTTGTCAACTTTCCAAAATGATTAAATTTCACATTCTAACTTCAATTTCAGTCCCCAAATAGTAATTTCCAGAATATTACAAGAACTATTGAACAATTATACAACAACCCAAAACTTTTTCATAATTGTTGATTTGGTCCCCCAACTTTCACAAAATTACAGCTTGGCCTAAAAAAAATTCTAAGGCTTGTAGAACCTTTCTAATATAATTTCTATGCCACATGAAATTTTTGAAAAATTTCCCCATAATCTTCCACAAAGTCGAATGGTTTATGTACTCAAGACTAGAGTTTTCACGATTTACTCGATTTTGTTTCAATTCAAGCATGAAATCAACCTCAATTCAACCTTATAAAATCTATACAATAAAAGCCTTAATTAAATTTCACCATAACATAAATTTCCTCTAAGATTAGGGTTAGGCTGAAATTACCCATGGCTTATATAGGCATGTATAGTTGATTTTAATCATAAATCATGCTTGAAATTGATTCTACAACGTCAAAAACATCAAAATCTTTCATCTATTTCATAAACCCTAATGTAAAATAAACCCTAGAATTTGGGATCTTTGAAAACAAACCAAATTAGCAAGCAATAAAGGTATCAAATGATAGCGTTTTTCGAATATAACAATTTTCTATTTCATGGCATGATTCAAAATCCAAAGGAAATTGCTCAAAATGAGAAAGAAATTCTCTTACCTTGCTAGGGGGTCACGACCAAGGGCTGAAAATAACCTAAGTTTCATGAAATTTTTATGTAATTTCATGTTAATTTAAGCTTAAATGAATAAAATATTCATTTAATGAGAAATGTCCATTTTTCCATTAGTGAAACTTGATATTGAAAATAATACCAAGCCACATAATCTTATCATATTTCTAAATTCAAATATGAACAAAATATTTTACTCTTTTCCAATTTTACCAAGCAACTTTCCAAAAATTGCAATCTTGCCACTTTGATCCAACGGTCCATATTAAACATGGAAATAAATCTTCAAATCCAATGTTCCATATTATTTTCCAAAATTTTAACATGTGGAAAAAATATTTTTAAGCCTATTTTATCATCCTTCAATTTTTCCCGAAATTTTTATTCGATCCAATTACCGATTTCTTATTAGACTTTAACCCTTTCTAGTTTTCAACGTAGATTCCAGATCAAGAATCATATTTCAATAAAACCTCACTCTCAAAAGTAAACTATCTATTTATGGAATAAAAATTATTTTGGGAAAATTACCACTTAGGTCCCTGAACTTTTCCAATTATACTTTGGTCACTAAACTTTCAAAATTTACATTTTGGTCACTAACCAAAATTTGGAGTATTAAAGCAACATTTAAGTTGGATATTGAGAAGGCTTATGATATGGTATAATGTAACTTCTTGGAGAGTGTCATGTTGAAACTTGGGCTATGTGCTGAGTTTGTGAGATTACTTATGAGATGTATAACTTCGGTTACATTCACTGCTCGGGTTGATGGTTCCCTTACTATTGAATTCTCTACGAGTCTTAGATTAAGGCGGAGAGAACACTTATCTCCATTCTTATTCCTTTTCGTTACCAGGGGCTATCTGTCTTATTTCATAAGGCTCAACAGGTATGTGATATTAAGAGTATTTGAGTATGTCAAGTTGGACCACGTGTGTCCCATTTATTGTTTACAGATGACAATCTATTGTTCTTGAAAAATTCAGTTTCTGAAGCTAATAACATCAAGAAGATTCTATCAGTGTATGTGTCGTCTTCTAGGCAAAGAATTAACCTGGACAAATCAACTATATATTTTAGTCCCAATACTCTTACGAAGCATCGACATCTTATGTCAAATATATTTGGTATTCAAGAAGTTCAATCCCTGGGACATTATCTTGGTCTTCCCCTCCACATAGGTAAAAATAAAACTAACACCTTTGGTTATCTACGCGACAAAGTCATAGATAGGGTAACTAGATGGACCAAAAGATTATTATTCTATGAGAGAAGAGAAGTATTCCTTAAACCAGTGGCATAAGCATCTTCTTAATGAGATGACTAGTATAATGCGAAGATACTAGTGGACGAGAAAGATTTTTGAACGAGGATGGCCTCTAGTAGCTTGGTCAACGATCTGTAAACCTAAGTGTTGTGGAGGATTAGGATTTCGCGATCTGAATTCTTTCAATATGGCCCTAATTGAAAAACATGTATGGTGATTGATTACACAACCAAATTGTTTGTTATCTCGTGTGCTTAGAACAAAATATTTCCAAATGGGGATCTTTTAAATGCTCCCATTTGAGATAAAAGCATGGATAGAAAGGAATACAAAAGGCAATTCAAGCATTTAATGGACCGTTTTATTAAAGGATATGAACGGATAGTAAGCTCAACATGGTGACAGATAAGTGGGGTGGTTCTACGATAGTTAACCTAACAGGTGATTATATCACTTCTAATATATAAAGATTATGTGGTTTTCAATTTATATATGCAGGGTGACCTATGTAGGACGAGACGAATGTGCGCTCGACTTTTACGACCTCGGATACTAAGCTAATTTATCAATGTCGACAACTCTTTACTCTGAGGATACTATTATTTGGGGCAACCATGATTCTGGGATTTATTCAGTTCGATCTGGATATTGGTGGCTCCAATGACCTACACATACAACAGAGGTGAATTCGAAATTATGGAAGGTCATTACCAAGCTTGAAACGCTTCCTAAGGTCAGGTTATTTACTTGGAGGATGGCACATATAAGGCTCCCGGTTGGTTCTCGCCTTTTAACTGTAGGTATAGGGACATTTTTATGCCTTATGTGTAATAGAGATATGGAAACAGTGGTGCACATTCTTCGTGATTGCTCGTATGCCCAAGAAGCCTTCATAACAGCTGGGTTAACAAGTTTCTTTTTATCTAGTTAGTTAATATCTCCCTTAAAATGGCTTGAGACAGTCTTTGTTACGCTTGATCTTGAAATTTTTTTAGGGTTCATAATGCTTATCTGGAACATTTGGAATGGACGTAATGCAATGGTACATGATGGTTGACTTCAACCTCCTTGGTTTATTGTGGCGAATGCGAAGTCACTTCAGGCAGAATTTGTCCAGGCTCAGAGTTCTCAAAAGGATCCTCACTATGTTCCGAGTGCTCGTGATGGGATTGTCCTTGGATTGGATCTGACACGTTGGAAGCCACCTTTGCATGATGTAGTGAAGGTTAATGTTGATGGTTCCTTTGATCCACGAACGTGACTGTCAGTTATAGGAGTCATTGCCCGAGACTCGGATGGTAGGGTCTTAGGTGGAATGGCCTCGACTTCTCCCGGGTATGTGGAAGCACGGTTAACTGAAACGCATGCAATTATCACAGGTTTTCATTTGGCCAGGGATTGCATATTGCAGCGTGTGATGATTGAGTTTTATTCTTAGGTACCGGTCAATAAACTTCATCGTGATACTGAAGACATTTTGACGATCGGGATCCATTCATCTAAGGCGCGTCAGTTGTTGTCTAATTCTAATGGGGTTTAGTGTTCATTACATTGTACGTGATTGTAATATGATTGCTCATAATCTTGCAAAATGGGCTATTAATACTAACAATGCTATGTATTTTTGACTTAATTTGTCCTGAGATTATTCGAACGATGTATTAGCTGAGTATTCTATTTAGTAATGAAGTTCTTGTGGGTACTTTTCCCCTTATATATTTAAAAGGGGTGGTAATGAGACCCTCATTTAAAAAAAAACGAGTTTAACATTGAATGCACTTTCCAATTTCCTTTCAAATAGAAGCTTCAGGTGGATCACTCTATAAACTTTTTTTGAAATTTAATATTATCATACACTATTTGGGTATATTTTTATCATATTTGTCACGTCTAGTCAGAGTTTGGCTGTTATTTTCTGAAATAAACTAGAGGATCATTTGTTTTACAGGAAAAACACTTGAGATCGGCTGCCCAAAAACGCAGCCTTAGAAGATGTAAGAGCCCATCATCCCAACAACCCAAGCTGCTCCTTCCTCTTACCTCATCAATTCAACTTAAATTGCCCAACTTTTCTACTTATTTTTGGGACATGTCAGCAGCAAACTATGACTTCTCCATTTAGAATGATCACTTTCATTTCTATTATTTTGTTTATAAATAATTAAAATATTACCATCAAATTTTATTGACAGTCTAAAACGAAACTAAGTCAAAGGATCTTTTTGGATACAATTAATTTGAAAGGGGAAGACAAATGCATGAACCTTGAAAGACGATAAAAGTGTTTTGAAGTTCCATTTTACGAATCCCTCCTACCATGTGCCGGTTTTTCAAGTTCTACTTTGAATGCTTTTACCATATTTTATAATATAAAATTCAATTAAATGTTTTATAAAGTTTTCATGTAAATTTCACGAACTAAAATAATAGAATTATTTGAATTTCACATGTTTTGGCCTAATTTTATATTTTTTTGAAAATATTAAAATCAAATGAAATTTTATAGAAAAAAAATATAATTTTAACTTCTAAATTCTTATAATTTTTTCGATATATAATTAATGCAATATCTTACTACTCCTTTTAAAACATGAGACTTTACTAAAAAAAATTATTTAGCCGTCAAATGGTGGATTCAAAAATATTTTTCAGGATGGACGCACATATGTTAACGATATAAAATTTTAAAATGAGATGAGTACAAATAAAATTTCAAGGTGGACACCGTCCGCAAAATAAATAACTAATAGAAGAAAACTCAGATTCCAAAGTGGGCACAATTAGTAAAATAAGTAACTAATCGAAGAAAATTCAAATTTCAGTATCCACCCTCACCAAGTTGTGGCTCTGTCACGGTAGACGTCTTTTATCTTTGTTGTTAAAGTTGAACTCATCTAGTAATTTTAGTGGTTAAAGTAAACGTTATTCTCTTTAAAAGTATTACGTTTGGACAGTTACACTTGTAAAATATTTGTATTGCCAAAAATTAAAAAAGATTTTAAATGATAAACAAATACTACTTCATGACTACCCAAACTATTCTACAAAAAATATTATTGTTAGAGTTGAAATAAATATCCTGAGAGACCCTTGGAATTAGGAAATAAATAAACGAGGTAAATGATGATTTTGGATTAAATTATTATAAATATATGGGGCAAAGGCAAAGCAGACAAACTCAGAAACGGCGGGCGTGGGACTTGAATTCAATGCTTGGAACATCATCTGCAGTTGCATTGCATGTTTCAGACTAAACTAAAACCAAAGTCAAATATATCTCCTGTATTAATAAAACATCCATCCTTCGGTCAATGAACTACAACTCCTCCTAATTTAATCCCCATATTTGCTCTTAATCTCTTCTCAACCTCATCTTTCGCTTCATTCAGTCAATCTGATTACCAGGTTTGTTCTTTGGTTTTGCAAATTGTGAAACCATCTATTGCCCCACGACCTTTTCTTTTTGGATTTCATTTTACGTTTTGGTTGGTACAACCCCAATAATTCCAATTTCTTTCTCCATATATAAAGTTTCGAAAACTGTTGTTTATGTTTGGCGTTTTGGTTAATGATTCTGGGGTTTTGTCCTGTGTGCTTAGATTGTTGTTTCAGTTATAAATTGGAGAATTGTTTTGAGATTAATTCAAGCATTTGAAGCACAATGGGAGGTGTTTGCTCTGGTGGAACCAAAGATCGGACTATAAAGAATGAGCAAAAGACTAGAGGATTGTCAGGGAAACTCAAGTCGAAAAACAGCTTTGCTAAGCAAAAAGGAAACTTCAATTCACTTTCCCATGTCAATGGCGACAAAGCACGGCAAATACACGATTCTGTCGACTTTGGATTGCAATTTTCCCGGGAACTGAAGCCATCAACCCCTGCAAAGACTACATCTTCCAAGGTAGACCTTGCCTTGATCATATTGTTTAGTAGTGGCAATGAACTTCCATTGTTTGAACTTATCGAAGCCTGAAACTAAACATCAAGTGTCATTTCATAGTTGTTAAACTCGGAATCGAAGAGCACTCAATGGAGTAAGTGACAGCATGTAGATGCCTGTTTTTTGCAAAGAATAAAGGGCATTAGTTAGAATGTTCAGTTTATAAATATGAGTTCTGCTTTTATGCAGCTTGTGGAAGGAACAGCTTGTTTATGCATCTATTTCCGGTCACTGTCATTACTCATCGAATAATGCAATCTCATGACTAATCTTCAAATAATTTTTGTTTGTTTTTGTAGGTTTCTCACCGGAGTTCATTTCTAGGAAGGGCTGGGATTATAGGCCTAGAGAGGGCAGTCGACGTTCTAGATACCCTCGGAAGTAGCATGACGAATTTGAATCCCGGAAGTGGCTTTGTCACTGGCCTGGCTTCTAGAGGCAATACAATATCTATATTGGCATTCGAAGTGGCTAATACGATAGCTAAAGGAGCAAATTTGTTGCGGTCACTTTCAGAGCAGAACATACAATTCCTTAAAAAGGATGTCTTGCATTCAGAAGGAGTACAAAAGCTAGTTTCTTCAAACATGAAGGAGTTGCTAAGCATTGCTGCAGATGACAAGAGGTAGCTTAAGTGCTTTTAATTGTTCTCCATGCAGACAATGATGTGCTAATTTTTGCGCTTCAATATCCTATTATAACGTTCAATCCTTCGACATATATAGGGATGAATTGGATATTTTTTTGCGGGAAGTAGTCAGATTTGGAGATCTTTGTAAAGATCCACAGTGGCATAACCTTGACCGATACTTTTCAAAGTAAGGTAGATTTTTTTTGTGGAGCATCTACTTTCAGCTTACTTTGCTGATGTTTGCTGATGGAGTTATGCATCTCTTGCTACTGTCACCAATCTGTCAGACTAGATATACACAATTCACTCCATAAACAAGCTAGAGCTGAGGCAGAAATGACAATGAAAGAACTAACGTCTCTTTCTCAGCACACCTCGGTAAGTTCTATCATCTAATTTTGTGTTGTGATTCGAGCTCTAACATCAGAGTTACCATCTTTGTGATGGTTTATCACTGTATATTGATTTTAGGGTCTTGGTTCTTGAAAGCTTTTTAATCCATGTAGTGTACTTCAAGAATCTAACTGATGTTTAAATTTGTAGGAACTGTACCATGAATTGAATGGTCTGGACAAATTTGAGCAAGAATGTAGGAGAAAGCTGGAAGAATTGGAGGCCTTAAATCTCCCTAAAAGAGGTTAGACATGGATGATTCTTTTACTCATTCAATTTATCTTGACGAAACTTCTTACGGTTAATATCATCTTATTAAGAGTTCCTATTAACAGCTAATGTCCTTGGATTACAGGAGAGGATCTCGTGATTTTACAAAGCGAGCTAAAGCAACAACGAAAGCTCATAAGGAGTTTGAAAAAGAAATCTTTTTGGTCTAGAACTTTGGAAGAGGTACATAACTACAAGATGTTTTTATAGTTGTCCATGAATCTTCTCCGCTGCATTTTTCTATGTGCTGAACATGGAATCTACTTTGGTCATGGACGAAATGATAAAACATTATTCGGTTTTGGCTTCTCTATAAGCAAGAAATGTTTGCATCGCCGCAGAATCAATACACAACCTTTCTCGACTGTAATCTTTTTCTTCGCAGATCATGGAGAAACTGGTTGATATCGTTACGTACATGCATCAAGCAATCTTTGAAGCCTTTGGAGGTAATCATTTAGGTTCAAACCTCAATGTGTTATTTGATGTTTTACTATGTCTTATTAATATAATTTTCAAATCATGGCAGAAGCATCATCAGCCGGAAAGGAGACTCCCGAAAATTCTCAGAAACTAGGTGTTGGTGGACTTGCATTACACTATGCTAATGTAATTCATCAGATTGACAACATTGTAAGTCTTTGACATGGCCATTTCCCTTTTTTACCACTAGCAGTCTAGGCCTTCCAATTCCACCCGCTTGGATTATATTGAATTTATATGTTATAGGCGGCTCGACCAGCTTCGCTTCCTCCTAATATCAGGGACACATTATACCATGGATTGCCACCCACGGTTAAGAAAGCTTTAAGGTCCCGATTACATTCAATCGACACCAAGGAAGAGGTACATTCTTTTTGTTTTATAATAGCTTAGCTGTGATCCATTTTCTGTTCATCTATTCCTTCGAATATCGTCACTCAGTTTCTTTCCTTTTTGTGCAGCGCTCGATTTCACAGGTCAAGGATGAGATGGAAAAGATCCTTAAGTGGCTTGTTCCAGTTGCAACAAACACAACCAAGTATGCTATATCTGATTATCCCACCTTGTTGATTTATGGAAGAGATTAATCCAAAGTTCCAAAGTAATATTTGTTTCTTTGTTTTCTTTCTGCTGCAACAGAGCATGTCAGGGTTTCGGCTGGGTTGGAGAATGGGCCAACACAGGGTAAGTCAAAGGCTTCTCTTTATCTCTCCTTCACACATTGTGACATGTTAATGGAGTTCTTTTTGTTAGTTACATAATAATAATACTGAGGTTTCCTGGGTTTTGTTTTAACAGCAATGAATTCGGAAGAAGCGCAGCCATAAACGTCATCCTCACCCGTCTTCAAACACTTTATCATGCTGATAAACAGAAAACAGATGCATACATCCTTAAACTGGTGGCATTGCTGCATCAATTGATCAGCTTAGTAAAACAAAGAGATCACGGACTCGAGCCTCAGCCTTTTCGATCTCCTACATATAAAGGCTTGCTTTTTCACTCAAAGATGCAGCAGCGAGTTCACTCCTTCAACGGCAATGGAACTAAAGCGCACAAGATCGAACTTTCTGAAGAAGACAGAAAATTATTAAATAAGGTGACAGGTAGGAGATTGATTCCAGGAGTTAGCAAAAGTCGAGAGCTTCCTTTAGGCAGAAACAAAAGGATCAAAGTTTGGACTTTCAGTAGGAGTGCTGGGAACACTCCTGATAGGAGCTTGAGGACAAGAAAATGTTTGAAGCGTTCAAAAGCAAATATATTGGACGTCATGGATGGCTTAGATCTTGCAACTTAAGTCTCACGTCCAAAACTTTTATCTGATTCCCAAGATTCATTTCATCTCTTTCTATTGTATATGTTTTTCCTATGAGATTTACGAGTGTATATAATACTTTCAATTTTTTCAGAAATATATTAAAATTTATATAACAGGATTATGTGATCTAAGAACATATACATACAACACTAATATATAAACTATCAATTTTACTCTTTAACTTTTCTGAAATAAAAGATTTTAGAGCAACAAAACAGAAGCTATTTGAGTATTAAATATTTCAGATTTTGAATAGAAAACAACTTCGTTCGTAAACAAACTCTCAAGCATCGTTTATGGTTTAAACATCTGAACTAGTCTCCTTTACAAACTTCCCGAAATCCAAATAGCTGTGCATATCTAAGAAGTTCTCCGCTGCATCTCGATATCCGGCCGTTCCTCGAGTCGATGAGATGATATTTTTCATTGATACTTCTATTATTCACAACATCAGCTAGGCTTACAGTAACATAACCCAAAGTCGGTGTAATGAGTCGAGAAAGAACGAAAACGAAAGCGAAATCAATGCAATGTTCACCATGGGATGCGGGAGCCTTATCCTGGACGACGTACTGAATACTTCGTCGTGAATTTTATCGTTTACGGGTGGTTCATCCACCATAAACTAAAATTCCTCTTCCCATCTTGGATCTCTTTTTTTTTCTTTACACGCTGAATTAACAAATTCCGGATAAGGAATAAAAGTGTATGATAACTAACAAGAACACGATTCTCAGACAGGCAAAAATAAAAGGTCTAATAGCATTGTCAGTTCACGCTAAAGTCACTGTCGACGACGAGTACCAACTCACCTACCGGCCATCATCCACACTTTCATGGATTTCCTAGGTAAAATCACCGTGTTTTATGCAGTTGATTAAAACCCCGATTAATTGGATTACCCAATTTGCAATTTTCTTATTGAACTCCAATTAATTGGATTACCCACGCAACAGCACTGAACCCTAGCCCCGACAGCACGACGAGCAGATGCCCCATCGACAAGGGACATTAGACGGTGATAAAAATGGTAAGTTTAGGGTGTACAGGTTGCAAGGGATGTAGAGGTTTATTCCCTCTATCGGCTGAATTGGGCAAATAATTCCAACTTGTGGATTATTTGGCCCAATAGGACAACACAAAATTTATTTTGGTATTTAAGGTAAATGCTATAGTCTTAATGTAACTCGTCACGTCGATATGATAAGTTTTTTGGGATATTTTTTTAATGGGTTATGTCAAGCGGGTCTCACAGCTCGAATATATTTAATATAAATAAAAAAATAATTATTTTGAAATTTTTAAAAGCATTAAAAAAAATTATTTTATTGATGATGTAACTCGTCACGCCGGTGTGACGAGTTTCAACGGTTATAATTTTGAATTTGTTTACCATTAGATTGACCGTTGTTGAACGGACAATTTTTTTTAAATTCAATAGAACTCATCAAATCGGTGCGACGAGTTCCAACAGATATTTTTAATTTAAAAAAACTAATCGTTTATAGTCGTTGGGTATAGTAGTATAAATTGAGGTTTGGGGATTGATTTTTCGCAAAAGTTTTTTTATAAAAAAAACTATGGAATTGATGTGGATATCATTCCTATCAAGTGTGACAATATTAATGTTATTTATCTCACAAAAAATCAAATCCAACATTCTAAAACTATGCACATAAAAATTAGACATCATTTCATAAGATATCATGTCTCAAAAGAAAATATAATTATAATTCTAGAGTATATAAATGCTTTGCATTAAGTAGCTGATATTTTTACAAAATCTTTAGACAAAAAAAGATTTTGTGCACTTAGGAGAGAATTTGGTCTATCCAACCTAACTTGACTTTTTGTTATATAAAAAAGGGAAGATTCTTGAAAACACTTTGATATTTTGATATACTAAACAAAATTGTTAATTAATTTTTACAAATTTTAAGATTATATTTGATTAAGTCATTCGAATATATAAAATTATTCTTTAAAGTTAAAATGTCAATTTTTACTCCTCACACTACTGAAAATTTAAGTCTTATACTGGAAAATATTTTTGAAATAATTTTTACTAAGGGTTTCGAACTTTAATCGAGTCAAAAATGATTTTTAAGCATAGTAGTACCGATACTACTAGAACAATACCTATATTGTTCAAGAAGTATCGATACATATATCGATGTTGAAGCATAAAACAATACAGTAGTACCGATACTGCTGAGATAGTATCGATACTGTCAAAACAAAATGCTAAAATGGCATCGATACCATGTACGGTATCGATACTACTTAGTGTAGTAGTACTGATACTCTTAGTGAATGTACCAATACTACCTTTTTAGAACACTTCTTGTACTCAATTGTATTAATTTCTCAAGTGTTTTTATTTGTTATTGAATTGTGCAAACACATTATTAGTAAGGATTTGATAAGTTTGCAATTTGTAATTTTCTCTTTGAGAGAGTGTCTCAAGAATTTGAGGTATAATTTGTAAGGGAGTTGTAAGGTTACACCTTATCCTCTAAGATAGATACAAATTAGTGAATTTGTGGAAATCCTTAGTGTGGATAGCTAAGATAGTGTATGTAGACTTTGGTTGATAAAATCGAACCACTCTAAATTCTTGTGTTCATTTTGTTCATTTTTCTCTCTTAAGCTTCTACCAAAATTTTAATTGTCAATTCACCTATCTCTTGGCTATTTCATCCTTTCGATTGACTTCAATACTAGTGTGACAATACTAGTGTTATTTGTCTCACTAAAAATCTCATCCAACATTCTAGAACTAAGCACATAGAAATTAGATATCATTTCATAAGAGACCATATCTCAAAAGAATATATAGTTCTAGAGTATGTAAATGCTTTGCATCAACACAAAAGTTTTTGCTCTCAATAGAATGTTTGACTCCAAGTGAAAAATCAATCCAACACAAACCTCTATTTATACTATTCTACACAACGACTATAAACGGCTAGTTTTTTTCAAATTGAAAATATTCGTTGGAACTCGTCACACCGACGTGACGAGTTCCATTGAATTTTTAAAATAATATTTTTCCGTTCAACAACGGTCAATCCAACGGTCAACAAATTCAAAATAATACCCGTTGGAACTCATCACATCGGCGTGACGAGTTCCATCATCAATAAAATAATATTTTTTTAAATGCTTTTAAAAAAATTCAAAAAAAATATTTTTTATTGGGACTCGTTATGTCGGCGTGACGAGTCCCGTGGGATATATTAAATATATTCGGGCTGTGAGACCCATGTGATACGATCCATTAAAAAATATCCCATGGAACTCGTCATGCCTACTGTAGCATTTGCCCTAGATTCCAAAATAAATTTCATGTTGCCCCATTGAGCCAAATAATCCACCCGCCCGGATTATTGGGCTAAAAATTCTCCCTCTATCCCCTTAAATTGTTTTTTAATTGATTTTTTGTCAGTTTTTAATTTTAACTTATTATTATTTAAAATTTATTATCGATAAAAATATGATTTTTTAGAAACCTTTAATCAAGTAATTTTGAAGTGTATATTTAATAAAATTTATTTTTTAAAAAATATTAAAAATAACCTTAGTTAAAGTTTAAAATTTTTTATTTTTAAAAATCAATAGGGACATTTTAGTGGAATAGAAGTAATAATATTTATAGATTTAGAGGTTAGAAAATTTTAATGATTTAATGTATTTATAGATTTAGGATTTATGAAAATTTATAGATTTAATATTTATGAATTTAGGGTTATGAAAGTGTATGATTTAAGGTTTAGAAAATTTAGGATCTAATATTTTAGAATTTTAGTGTCTATGATTTATGCTTTAGGTTTTAGGATATTAGGGTTTAGGGTTCTTGATGTTAAGATTTAAGGTTCAGTGTTTATCATTCATAATTTATGGTTTTATGATTCGAGGTTTAAAATTCTAGAGTTTATAGCTTACATTTCATAATTTAATGTTGATGGTATATAATTTAAGGTTTATGGTTAATGATTTAAGGCTTAGGATTTATGGTTCATAATTTAGATTTAGAGTTTATGGTTTAAGATTTAGGGTTTGACTTTTAAAATTTGAAGTTTATGATTTGAAGTTTAGAATTTTAGACTTTAGTATTTAAGGTTTAGGGTTATAGTTTTGTATTTTAGAGTCTCAGGATCTTATGGTCTCAGGATCTTATGGTCTAAGGATTATGGGTTTAGGATTTAGAATTTAGGATTTTAGTGTTTAGAATTTAATGTTTAAAGTTTGTGATTTAAGATTTAAGATTAAAGATTTAGAATTTAAGATTTAAGATTTGAGTTTGAAATTTAGTGTTTATGGTTTAATAAAATTTGATTTTTTTAAAATAATAATATTTTGAAGTCAAAATAATATCGTGAAGAAAAACACAAAAGCAAATAAAACCAAAATATTTCAAAGTGGACAACATTTAGGTGTCCCCCAACCCTTATTATTGTTGGACAGTTAGGACCTACAACGTGTCAAGCCCCGACATTTTTAATACCAACTGCTTGCAAATATTTATTTAATGATGGTAAAGAAATTAATATTTTAAGTAAAATAAGATCATAAAAATGATAAAAAAATTCAAAAAATTATTTAATATTATAATATTTTTAAATTCAAAATATTACTTGAGCTGAAACAATTTCGGGTGAAGTAACCCAAACGTGAAGCATAAAATTGCTCGAATAATGGAGTGTGAAGTGATAGAGAAATGTGGCATGATGCGAGTGTGTTGGAGATGGAAAGGGTATTTAGCTTATGGTCGAAGCATTTGGGCCATAACTTTATAAAGCCATCATTCCATTCAAAAGCCAATATATATATATATAAAAGCATTGACCTGTCTCTTACTGCAGAATGAAAACTCCAAAATAAAATGCTCTTCGACCATTTGTTTAGAGAGGGATCAGCTGAAACCCCAAATACGACCGAGTAGCATAGTTTGTAAGAAAATGACTTGTTAGGCCCATCAACGAAACAGCAGCGAACGTGGGTGTGACTGTCCGTTGAGATCCTATTTTGTGCCCATTTAAAAACTATTTTTTATTCCTTAAAAGACGTGACCAGTTTTCTT